TTAAATTCAAAGAAACTTTATTTAATATGGAGTTGGTCCTCCTTTAGACTCACAGACAGCTTTAATACGTCCAGGAATGGAATCATACAGCTTCCTGACTTCATCCAGAGGAATATTCAGTCATTCTTCCATTAAAACCTTCTCCAGCTCTTTACGACACGACACTGGAGGATAGCGGCTCCTAACTTGTTGCTCCAAAATGCACCACAAATGTTCAATCATCTTGAGATTGGGGAGGCCACTCCATGTGTTCTAGCTCACTTTCATGCTCTTCATACCAATTCCTAACCACTCGAGCGGTATGTATTGGAGCATTATCGTCTTGGAAGATGCAGTCACCACCAGGGAATAAAGTCTTGGCCATTGGATGAACATGATCTCCCAAAATGTTCAGGTAATCTTTGCTGTTGATTCTACTATGCAGGGAATCTATTGGACTGAGACATTTCCATGATATGGCGGCCCAAACTATCACTGATCCACTAGTTAGGTTTGTAAGCTTCTTTGGGTTGCCTCCACACATAAACTCGCCCTGAAGTTGGGAAAAGAGAAAAACTAGACTTGTTTGAAAATATGACTTGCTTCCATTGGTCTGCTAACCAGGCATTGTGATCTCTGCACCACTTCAACCTCTTTTGAATGTTGCGAGTGGAGAGAAGAGTTTTCCTCACCGCGGTTCTTCCATGATATGCAGCCTTATGGAGCTCATAGTGAACAGTTTTAGTAGAAACTGAACTATTCAGATGGTTATTCAACTCATCAGCCACTTTGGCCGCATTTGTCCGATGATTTTTTGCCACATTGCGTTTCAATGCACGAAAGTCCCTGTCAGTAAGTTTGCAAGTCCGGCCCGAATTGCTACGGTTGCTAGAGGTTTTGCCCTGTTTCTTGAATTGCATCAGTGTTCTTGATATGGTAGCTCTTGAAAAACCAAACAGTTCAGCAACCTTAGTGATCGATGCTCCTGCCATGCGAGCTCCAACAATTTTCTCTTTTTCTAACTCTGAGAGGTCACGCATCTAGCTTAAATTTTACTAAATTCTAAAAATAAGACAGTAAATTAGATAAATAAACATATTTACAATAGATATAACCTGCAATTACGAAGTTTTAGTTAAAGTTCTTAATATAATAGGTCTTTGAAATATAGAAGTGGATTTTGCAAATGTTCCAATTATTTTGTCCAAGCCCTGTATATTTCGCTACCATTTTAAATATATTTAATTATAAGCAAACATTCCAATTTTTATTTGTTTATAGATTATATATCTCTATCTATAAAAGACAGGATATGTGTGTGTGTGTGTGTGTGTGTGTGTGTGTGTGTGTGTAACGAATGCATGGCTGCAATTTTCTACAGATTTGCACCAAAATTTACATGCACATCCTTCAAGTTAGCGGGAAGGCCAAGACCGACTTTGCATTTCCAAACTCCCATCGATAGTGGAAATAATCAATTTTTTCATGCTTCTACGGCAGTAATTTGCGGCCATTTTGTACTGGCCAGAGTGAGAGCCAATAGCTGGCTGCCACGAATAGGCAGGAAGATTCTATTGGCCAGCGTGAGCGCCAACAGCTGACTGACATGAATGTTAACTAGCATGCTAACATGCAAAAAAAAAAAAAAATCGATAGCTGCATTCGTCACAAGTGGGAAAAAATTAAATTTGCATGGCACTTTACTCCAATTGGCTCATTCGCTTGCTTAAACTCAACGTTGGTTCTGATTCCGCAGAACTGGGTTGGGTGTGAAAAAGTGTTTGTTGTTAACATTCTTTTTTCATTCGGTTTTTCCAGTTACGAGTCCTTTTTTAAAGTTGATCGTTTTGTGTTCATTTTGTTTAGTTCTTTTTCGTAAAGGATTTAATGTTTAGTCGAGAGCTTAGAAAAAATTCGCAGTGTGAGATAGGCAATAAATAAGGGCACTCCTTTAAAGGCAAGGAAGGGCAAAAATATTTTAAGTCAAGTGATAGCGATTGCTGTATGAGTCGTACGATTTTTGAATCAAGCACGGGCAACGCCGGGCCATGCTGCTAGTTACCTATAAAATATGACTAAAAGAATTGCAATAAAGACAAAAAAACCGAAAAGAATGACTTTTTATAGTCATTCTTTCCGAGTTTTTTTTTTTTATTGTCGTTATTCACTTCATCATTTTCGTCTTTTTTTCTAATGGTAGCTTGTCTAAATGTATTCGTTAATGCGCATGTCTTTAACTATAATCGTTTAATAACTCTATGTCTGTATGTCTTTCGTTGACTGTCTCATTATATTTTTCTTGTACTACGCTTTGAAATTCTGTCTTACTTTTTCTTTGCTTATCTCTTGTCCCCTGAAATAAGAATTTCTCAGATCCCCCGCTACACTATTGTCCCATCACAGACTATTCCCACTCCGTGCCACAATTTCCGATACAAAATATCTTTCCTGCTTAACTAAGTGTAATTTTTCTCTTCAACTTTCAGATCGTCTACAAGTGGTTGCCCACAGACGCAAATTATTAAACTAGTCCCGCCTGTTTTAGCGCATAAATCGACAGTACTTGTCCAAGAAAACGGAGACAACGAGTCCTTGTAGAATATTCTGAACTTTCTTTCCGTTTCTTACATTATTGAGAGATAATGCGTTTAGCTTAGTACAGCAAAAGGCAGATAATGGGGACATTTTTAATAAATAAATAATAGTTTTTTTGTATTCAGGATACTAAATACAAGTGATTTAAAACCGAATCGGCTGGTGAATGGCGGACTCGTATTAATGCTAAAATCCTGTTGTATATCATACGAATTTTGTCGAACGCTTCCGAGGTTTCTCGATGTTTCTAGAATGGAAAGAGATTTATCAATACCTGAGAAAAGCACTTTCGAGTACCAGATGATTGTTAGGTGCCACGACCGACCAAGAGATAAAAGCTTATTATTAGTTAACCTAAAGAAAGTTGGAGAAAGAATTGTCTCAAAAAGAAAAATGACAGTCTCCAGAAAAAAAAAAACAAAAAAAAAAAACGAATATTTCGAGTGGCAGAAGCCATTAGTTTTCTGGAAGAGGAGATCTGAGGCAAAAGTGATGAGGATACACTTGATTCGGATTCTTGCTGTGAAAATAATGATGGGGATAAATCCGCAGATGAAAGTCTGTCAGGTGAGGAGAAGGCTGCGGTCAAATCAGTAAAATACTTTTAAGAAGAGGCAGTTTTTCTTTTTCATAAATATATTGTCAGTGTGATGAAGGACTACTTTTTATTATTATTCTTAGTCGCTTATTACAAGAGGAGTCATAATAATGAGGGTCGTCGGAATTTCTCGATATGCAAGAAACGGAGTTTTAATAAAAGTCGATTCTGCAGTTCATTTAAGGGTTCAAAAAGTGCAAAGTTAATAAACAGAATGCTCATAATATATGTGGAAGTGGGGTCAAAAAATTTAATTTAAAAAAAAGTAATGAATAAACGTACCCGGCTTCTGTTCGTTCCCTAAGAATATGTATCTGTACGTCTCATCATTATTCATGTAATTTTTTGTCTTAATTAAAATCGAATTGCTTAATTAATAGTTGCATTTGTCAGTCAGTTATGTGTCGTGTGTGATACACGCTTAGGCGATCATGTATCTTTTGATACATGACTGACGAAGCAGATTTTTTCCCGCAGTAGGTTGCCATTTCTTTCTGCGGTAGACTAGTTGCCATTCAAGGCAAGTCTGTTCTACTATATTGGTGCGGGGGGAGAAGAAGAGGCGGAGGATTCCTACCTTTCCCAAGGTTATTAGTACATAAGTGAATGTAATGGATTCGACTGGAATTCGAACTCGGCTCTTCTGATTCCTCAATCTGAGCTGCTATAAATTACGCCAGCTTACATCCGTTGCATTTGTACACAGTTAAAAACACCTTTATTAAGTTTATAGAAGTGTGAAGTAGACAAAAGGTTGTAAAACCCCGCTAATTTTCTTGTTTATGTACCGTGTCCCCTCAGGACGTAGGTGATCACGTCTCTCCACAATTCCGTGTCTTTTGTAGCTCATAATAAATTTTGTCTATTTGTATATATCTCTCATAAGCCCTGTTCTACCAAATATTTACATAAGCTTGTTAGGCTAGGTTACATTCTGATTTCCTTCTTGCCTTCAATATGTCCTGCAAGTATCAAATTTCTAACCCTTAATAAATTAAACTCTTAATAAGTTTTGTCCTTTTGTTGTTTCTCCTAAGCACTGTTGCGCCATTCATTTACTCAATCCCAGTAGGTACGTTATGCAATGCTTTCCTCTGTCCTTCTGGCCTTAAATCTGTCGCGGGAGTATCTGATTTTCCAAGCCCTCTTTCCTCATGATGTTCCTTAGAAACTTCAATTGTCTTTTCCTCATGTTAAGTATAAATTTCCTTTCTGTTTCCATCTTCTCTATAACTTCGTCATTGCTCACATCTTCAGTCCAAGGTATCCACATCGTCCTTCTGTAGAACCACATCTCTGTTGCTTCAAGTCTCTTCTTCATCTTTGAGGAGATTATCCAGCATTCACTGCCATATAGGAAGACAGATACCACATAACTGTTTAATACTCTTTTCCTTGTTTCTAGCAAAGTTTTTCTATTTCTTAGTACTCTGCTTAGCTTCTGGAATGTATCTTTGGCTATCCTAATAAGCCTTCGGATTTCAATGTCACACTTTCCGTCTTCTGTGAAAACATTTCCCAGATATTAAAATTTCCGCATTTGTTTGATTTTGGTATCTCCGATTTACAATTCACACTTTCAGCTTATCCTTTTGCTAAAAAAATAAAATATTATCTATATCTCAAAAGAATCGCCCAGTAAAATTACCAGTTAAAATTCTATTATTTGACGTTAGATAATTGGCTTTAAATTCTATGTAAAAATGATGTTCATTTAAATTCAGCTCAGTCACTAAAGCTGACGTGTCCAAGTTTACTTAAATACTCTAACTGACATTTGACTTTGCATTGTTTTAAAATAATCATTTTCTGTTTTGCTTTTTCACAGAGGGGAAGCAGTATCTACAACAATATGCTGAGTTCTGTACACACGTCCGTCGGTCTGTACAACCTGGCCGGCTTCGGTCTCTCCCAGCCGAGTCTCCCTCTTCACAATTACGAGCTTATTTCAGGAGCTCCCCCAGTCGGGACTGGATACAGTGAAGACTTGGACCGTTCAACGTCGTCAAAAACTTGCACGGATTTGAAGTCGCGGGACCATGCAGCCCTACTCACGGTTCTGCACGGGCATGGAACTTTCTATGGTGGACGATCTGAAATCAATTGAACTTTATTTTGTCTGTTGATACACGGGAAAGACACAACATTGGCGTGGGAATGTTTCTTTTATATTATTGAAAAACAGTTGATATATTAGGTTGTTCAGAAAGTAATATCATATGTTTTGAGACGGAGTAAAAAAAAAAAAACAAAAAAAAAACAAAACAAAAAAAAACGTTCGAATGCAGCAAAAGTTTATTTACCAAGATTATTATTATTATAAGTAACAGCGAAAGCTTATGAAGATAATTCTTTTATTCATTGTTGAAAGAAGTTTGGATTCTGAATGAAAAGCTTATGTTAACATCTAAACTAAAGCTCTCCGTTCGTAAATTAGGTCGAAATCAGGCGTGGGCATCCTTTTTCCTACGAGTGGGTCGTATGCGATATGGTTTATCATGAGACGAACTGCATTACTAAAATGATTCTTAGTAATTTTTTTATTAATGTTGTCTTCAAAGTTGCTCCTCAAGAATTTAGTAATATTAATGTTAAAGTATTGTGTTTTTATTTTTTACAATTATGTGTTTTAGAACAGGCTAGGATAATCAGAGGTGGTATTTATTGTTAAAAATAAGATAATGAAGATTGGCATAAAATGCTCTGTTATTTTCAACAGAAAGTCTCCCATTCTTAGGAATTACAATGAAATTCCACACTGAGTGAAATATAACCCGAGAAATATGAAAATTTTAGGTTATAATATTTTTATCTTTATCTCATCTCTCAACCGGCTTTTAGCACTTTCCGTTGATTTGAATGACTAGAACACTCTTTAATTGGCAAAAAACCTTCAAATTTCGGAATGAGATTAAATCAATAGCATTTTTTAAAAAAATATCACTCCCCTTTATGACTCAGTTGTTCATGGCTGTATACAGATTTCGTTTCTTTAGTTTTGAATTGCCATAAATTCCTGGAAATGTTAGTGAAGTGGTTTCCTCTTACATTCTACATAGCTCTGAATTTGTTAACTAACACAAGAGAGCCCAGTCTATCTTGCTAATTAATCCATAGCCAGGGACGGAGATAATATTTGGATTCATGCCTTTTCTAAGGTCAGAGTACGAAAACGAACGCAATAGAATAGGATCGCTGATTCCACTTTAACTACTGCACTATGGGCACATCTGTTTCAATTGTATCATAATTATGTTCGTCTAGAAACCCAAATCATTTCGATAAGGATTTTAAAAAATATAATTTAGTTGGCTTTTGTCGTTACTAATACAATTATTTTTATTCCCTCTAAAAAGCATAAAAAATTATCGCTTTCTGAACAACTTAATATTTATGACCAAAGTTTTCATTATGAACTAAACACATGCTACACATGTCAAAATTAACAACAGAAAAAACATTTTTTTGACAGAACAACGTAAGCTTTTGTGACGAATCAATTTGTTTACTGGAGAACTGAAAGAGAAGAAAGAAATGCCTGCCTGGATAGAGTTTACGAAGGTCAAAGAAGCTTCCAAAAATGTATATACACAATTGAAAACAAAAATATCGTCTGCTGTTATTTGGCAAACCTATTTGCGATAATAAGAACCTTAAATAAATGTATTAAATGATTCAGAGAGAAACTTATTAAGAGCAAAGAATTAAATAGTTATCCCATTTATACAGCCGTCATTTGTATTTTAAATTGTTTCCAATGCTTTTTCATTCCGCATATATAATATAACGCACGTGGTAAAGAAGTTGTAAAAATTTGTAAATTGTACGGTCTGATTGAAAAGAAAAAACATCCTTTTTAGATATAATCGCTTTTTGATCGAAATGTTTAAAAATCAAAACTTTTAAAAGTTTGGGGAATTTTTTCATGGAATTTAACTTAAACTGATAAAATGTATGTATGTATGTATGTAATGGATAGCGGCTCGGAGTGACAAATTGGAGAGCCGAGGTCTAATTACAGTGGAGTTCGTTACATTAATTTAGACGCATTGATGAACCTGGGAACAAATTTGCAAGTCAGCTGGTGGGCTGAAGTAACATGTAAACAATCACAAAAATAGGTGTAATGACAACTAAATGTATGTTTCTCATGTCTGTCGACTTTGTCTGACCTGAGTAAGACGATAAACTACATCCAACAGCAAGGCCTCTGATGCAGAGATTTTGAGGAGCGTGGAACCACCCCTTATTTGCTGGTGTTCCCAGGTCCACTGTGACCCGGGGTTGTAGAACCTGTTAGAGTCCCAGCTATGGGCAAATAGTTAACTATTACCAGCAATACTTTTTTGAAAAGCAGCAATACAATTTTGAAGGAAAAATATTACCAGAAACACATTTTTGACAAAATAAAATATTACCAGCAATAAAAAATTTTGTCGGCATTAAATAACCCATTGAGGTTGATATGCCGTAAAATAAAATAAACCAAACCAAACCAAACAAATTTGCCAACTTTGTGTCATATTTTTTTAAAAAATTCGTCCGGTTTAAAGAGTCACATCCGTTCAAATCACAACTAAGTTATACAGTATCTGGAGATTTCATACTCGGAATGAGGAATCCGTGAACCGAGTTCGAATGCCAGTTGCTTGTTGCATTCATTTTCCCGGAAAGGTATGAACTCATCGCTTCTTTCCCTAGCTATTGGTTAATTAAGAAGGCGTACTGGGCTCTTTAGCCTTGATGGGTAACACATCTAGGAGAAGAAAATGTTTGAATTCCCGGATAGATGCATGTATATATTTAGACTTTTGTCATGGTGATTTTTTTTTACTCTCGTTATAGTCAGATGTTCAAGCCATCAACAAAATTATGTATGTATGCATCTAGCATCTATAGGCAGGTCGGCGAGTGGTTGAAACATTCTGATCATGAAACCTGAGTTCGAATTATGCCAGGGTCTTCGGTAGGAAGTTAACTTCTTCATGTTATCGGTCTGGGAAGGTGAAATTGGCTCGACAAAACTGTTAGGAAGGCGTCGATGTTTACGCTAGCACGAAGTTACAAGTCATCGTAACCGAGGTCTTGAGCGTACTGTCGTTGTTCAAACTGCTCATTATGACAGATTATGCGCCTTCTTCCAGAAACTGTAACTAAAGCCCGCTCATCATATAAACCAGAGGTTGGCTCAGTGGGCGTTGCAGAAACATAAATGTACCTGTGAAAGTGTCTGCGACAAGCATTGTCTAGCCGTCTTAGGATACGGTTGAGCTCGGAAAATAACAGTAACCGGCCATTTTATATTATATATTGTATGTTTGTCGATTCAGGGTGGACCTGGGAACAGCAGCAATTAAGAGGTGGTTCGACGCTCCTCAAAACTTCCTGATCAGAGGCCTTGCTGTTGGAAGTAGTTTATCTTCTTACCCAGGACGCGCATGTAGTTTATCGTCTCACCCTGGACGGATACATGTTGGCATGCATCATGTAATTATACATGCGTACAAACTAAGTGGGATATCTGGGAGGAGGTAGTTTGTTTGGAAGTTCCCTTGATTTGAAATCGTATATTTTCCTTCATTTTATTAAAAACAAAAGTAACGTTTCACAATAAGTTACAAGTCACACCGCTTGGAACAACCAAGTTTTTTTATTCAAACCAAACGCGCACATATACATAAACGTTATGTAATATCCAATGTTTTGTCAGCCATTGAGTAAACGATAACTATGCGAATTGTTCCCAAGAGAACTAAACAAAAATATTTAACTCGATATGAATAAATAAAGTCAAAAGATGTTCATTTATTGTTAAAGTAAATAGCAGACATGACACAAAATTTTTTAATCATTTCACCCCAAGCAAGGCAACAAAGCCACTAGTACACAAGAGGTTAATGAGTGTTAGAGAGTATGAAAAAAATCACCACGATAATTAAGAAAACAAAAGAAAGCGATTGACATTACATTGAGATTTTTGAAGATCAATGTTGACTGGGAAGTAAGAAGCCAGAAGACGAGAAGTGCTATAGAATATATTATTAGCATAGAATATGCATTTACATCTAGACATTTTAACTGTAACATGATGAGACCCTCCTGCTAAGCTATCCTTTCCTGCCATTACTGCTGTGTAATTATTTCACTCGTTACTCATTGCTACAGATTGGTGGCCTTGTGTCGGACTAAGTTGTATACTATTACCGACAAGAAAAAAATATACTTAAGATGCACTGAACTAAAAAATATTATGGAGTTTGAGATACAAATCACTAATAAACACTTGATATGGATATCGTTTATATATATATATATATATATATATATATATATATATATATATATATATATTTTTATTTTTATGTTTATGCGTTGTTTTTATAGACATAAAAAATGTCTTGAATAATTGTCGGAATTTGTCCATTTCATAATATATATATATATATATATATATATATATATATATATATGTATATATATATATTAAAATGATTCAACACTTTAAAAGTCAAAAAAGTAATTATATTAATAATTATATTAGATTCTTCCCTCCAATCGACTAATTTTTATAGACCTTTAAACATATTTCTTTACCGAAGAATAAAAAGAAAAAAAAAGATCTTTATTGACTTCTTGAAATGGCAAACAACTTTTTAATTACTTAATAATTGATACGTGAATATTTCGTTTTTGGTCCAGCTCAACTTTATGGGAATGGATTGTATTCAGAGTTTCTTGGGATTTTCATTGATGAAAAGGTAGTCAAGAGAAACATCACAAAACCGACTGAAATAAAAACAAGATTGATTTATAAGTCTGAGTAAAAAAAAAGAAACGTCGATCAGGAGAGTAAAAAAAGTAAAAAAAAAACAAAAACAAAAGTTCAATTACAAGTCTATTTTGCACAACAATTACATCAGCGTAATGGTGCCGACGACAATACACCCTGACTTAATCTTTCTACAGGAACGGTCAATTTTGGGGAAGCGGCTCCTAAAGTCTGTTTCTTCAACTCCACAGTTAATTTGTCTCAATTCAGAAAATATAGCAATTTCTTAACATCTTGTAATTCGACGCAATCAAACAACTACAAATACAGATAACACACACACACACACACACACACACACACACACACACACACACACACACACACACATACACACATACATACACACACGCACATACACACATATATATACACACATACATACACACATACACACATACACACGTAAACATGCATACACGCACATACGCACATACACACATACACACATATACACACACTTACACACATACACACATATACACACGCACACTCACATACACACACATACACAATTATACGCATACTTATATATTCATACACGATTGAATGGTGAATATTTCTCAGAACCATTTTTTCAAGTCAATATTCGTATGTTTCCTGAGGCAACAGAAATGTGGTGCTATGGAAAATGTTTAGAATATCATGGACTAAACATTTGAGTAATGAGGAAGTTTTAAGGAAAATGAAAACAAGAAAAGGATGCTTATTCATACTTAGAATCAGAAAGAGAGATGAAATTTCTAAGACACATAATGAGGAAAGAGGGTTTGCAGAATTTGACATTCAAAGGTCATATTGAAGACAAAAGGAATAGAAGGGAAACAGCGAATAACCAACCTAACGAAACTTGTGCAAATGGATGGCAGGGGACGGAAAGGAAGTTTAAAATACAGGCATTGATAAAAGCTACAAAGGGTAGGAAGTTGTGGAGAGTCATGATAGGCCAAATACTGAAGGGACATGGAAAATAGAAGAAGGTATATTGGTAAAATTTGCCTAAACATATTTGTGATTTCGAAGTTATGTATTTATGTGGTTCTACAAAAGGATGCCAAGGATATCAGGAACGAAACATGAGTAACGAGAAAGTTTTAAGGAAAATGAAAAGACACTTATACTACTACTAATAATAATAAGAAAATGACAATTGATATTTCTAGGAAACACAATGAAGAAAGAGAGACTGGAGAAGTTGACACTCACAAGACATCCTGAAAGTGATGATAAAAAAACCAGATGTTACTAAGAGCTACAAAAGATAGGAAAATGGAGAGGGTCATAATCGTCCACGTTCAAAAGAGACCAAGCACATAGAAGAAGAAGAAGAAGAAGAAGAAGAAGAAGAAGAAGAAGAAGAAGAAGAAGAAGAATGTTATTTAAAATTGTCTATATTTATAGGGGATATTGGACATAGAGCGTTTATAGATATAGACAGTATGGGTACAGAAATCAACACTGCATGATGACAGTCAGTTTCACACCTCAATAGACTATTTCTGAAGACAGAACAGACAGTCAACATGCAGTGTAGATTCATAATTCTATTATCTATCTATCTATCTATCTATCTATCTATCTATCTATCTATCTATCGTTTCCTTTCGTAGTTGTGTGCTTGTGTGTGTATGTGTGTGTGTGTGCATACGTATGTTTGTCTATGCGCGCATCAAAGCTAGTGAGATATCTTTTTTATTATTTTTATAAGAAGAAACGGGAATCAGCGAGCGGAGTTCAAAATCTTCCTAGTCTGTTCCGATAAAATGTCTCAGGAAAAGGCTTGAACCCATAACTTATCTTCACCAGCTATGGTCTAAATAGAAATGTGGGCTGGACTCTCTAACCTTGGGTGACAGCCAGTGTAGAAGATGGTGTATTCTGAATTCAAAACTGTAGAGAAGTCAACGGGAAACCCCGCCACTATCTTTCTTAAGAATGAACGGAAATTTATAGATAACAAAGAAACGGAATCGCTTAATAGCCTTGATCGCTTACGTGACAAGAGATTTAGAAATAGAAAAGGATTTTATATTTTAACATCTTACATTTAAAAGTGAATTCTAAAAGTTGCCTGGCTATCAACTGACCAACGGTCAGCGCTCAGATACAAAATATTAAAATACAAACTGTATACAGTGTTATTCAATATGTTAAGAAATTGAAAATACACGTGATGATGCCAGAATAGACATTGCACTCAGTTTAACACCAGACGATCAGAGAAGCCAGATGCATCAGCGAGTTAATCTGAAAGGTGGCCGACTATTCACAAGGTGCAGGTTCGCACTTCGCTGGATTTCAGTGGTTTTCTCTGACATATAAGCAGATGGTCGACCCAGCTGCTCTTAAGGATGTACACTCGTGGAACAACTGATAATAGGACGATATATAAGCATACGCCCGAGAGAGAAAGGAGGTAGAAAGTCCTTTAAACCCTTGCAAGAAACCACGTTTGAAGAAAATCCCAAAGTCACATATTCACTCGTTGATATTAATTGACAAAGTCCAGAATTGAATAAATAATAATTTTAGGTACCAGTGATTTAGTCACATGTTCTTATTAGTGTGCGCAAACATAGCGTCACATCCGTATGAGACTAGGGATGTAAATCTGTTGTCCGGAAGACAAACAATTTTTAAAATATTGACTAAATAATAAAGTTACGTATAGTGGATTTAGTTTCATGATTTTCGTCATTCATTTTATTCAGATAGTGCCGCTGTCGTCACCCCCCACTCCATCTCAAAATTGTGCTTAATGGTGACATTCAAGGCAGGATAGTGCAATGGCTTGCCGGTTCCTTTTGCACCAGGGACGTTGAGGTTATTCCGTTCCTCATTTAAGATGTGGATCTGTTTTTGAAGTTACCTTCTTCTCGCCTTTTCCTTAAAGAGGTAGGATCTACAAGGCAGTAAGTGGTTTAAATTTAGAGTTTCTTTCTTTTGGATTGGTTGCCACCAGAAGCTATAGGACTCAGTATGTCCTGCTATTTTACCCATAGCTGGGCACAGAAGAGATGGATTTATACATTTCCCAAGAGTATTAGCACGTAAGTGAATTTAATGAACTCGACTGGGATTCAAACTCGGCTCTCACTAACCATTAAACCATAGCGCCTCAAATAGTCTTATTAGTCTGCGATAGCGTCACAGACCTATAAGTTTTGCTATGTAATTTTATATTCGGCAAACAAACAAATTTTAAAAGTTTTTTTTTTTTGCTACATGATCTCAGAAAATGAATATTATAGGCTCGAATAAACAAACATTTATACACACATGCACGCACACACAAATACTCCCACAGACGAGAAGTATATGCATATGTGCTTATATCAATATGAACAGTCTTATGTAAATTATATTTTCTTTTTATTACTTGGGAGGACTAATTAATATTTGTTTGTTTCACGAACGCTAATCCGAAAAATTATTTTGATAAGAGATGATTTTTTTTCCGAATTTAACAGAAAGTATTTCTCAGTTTGGTGAATTCTGTAATTTGTGAATATTTTCGCAAAAGTGTTTGAACATCGAATATAAAACAACCTATCATTTCCTGCACATACAAGCACATACAGAGAGACACACGTCCGTATTTACGCGTCTGGATATACGTCTACGCACTCACAAAAATTACTACATATTTCAATAAAAATAACTATAGAAGGTGTTGTTCAAACTCTCGAAGAATCTGAATAGTGATCCCGAAGAGAATGTAGTACGGATATTTGCCGCTACTCTTTGTGAGCAGTATCATAACATCTAACTTTCACTGTCTAAACGAGGTAAAGGGAATGTAGATGTTAAAATAGTAAATTAATTTTTTCATGGTCAAATTTTCCGAATTTTCTCTAGTACATGAGTTTAGGTCTTGTGATCTTTCTTTGTTAATCGAATGACCGGATGTGTGTGTGTGTGCGTATGTGGGTAATTACGCAGTCATAACGAAGAAAAAATGCACAAAAAATTAAGATACCGTCTATGAATAATTTATTTTGTGAAAAATGAGAATAAGCTAAAGTCATTAACAAATCTTAAAATTTCACTTAAAAAAATTATCTGTATTCCAAAACTCTGTATCTGTTAACAAAAACGTGTTATTAGCGAAATTCTTTTCTCGCCGTAAATAAAACAATTCACAAGTCGATATAGTTTATTCTCAACATAAAGACACTTAAACAACAGTCAGTGGCACAAGCAAAACATTTTAATGGAATTAAGTGTCATCGGATGTGCGTCTAACGTAACGGATATCGAAAGACAAAGTGGAATCGACGATCCGATTTCAAATTCTAACCGGGTCTGTTACTAATTCCCTTGGATCTCCGTCGATCTATGGATTAAATAGAAGTGTAGATTAGCCTCTCTAGCCTTCAGTGATAACCAGTCCCAATATTGATTGATTTTTTTACTGCTTAACTTTTTCCAGAGCTGTTATCAATTACACGACTGTATATTCAATTTTACAGCACCTGATAATAACTAGCGGTCACCGATCTAGTTACTGACCAGGCTTGACATACCAATTACAAGAACAGGTCTTAATTCAAGCCCGTTGAGAAAGCAACAGGGAAACGTTGCACTTTCTTTCCCAAGAAACCACGACAATTCACGGATAATAAACAAAAATCAATCTGCGGATAACCATGACCGTATTTAAAGGGACATGTCATTAAAAAATGTAATCACTTAGTCATAAAATAATGCCATGATTTGTCAAGGTAGTACATTTACCAAATGGAAATAAAATCTGTATAAAACTTGTCCGACCAGTTCCTAATCCCAATAACGAGAAAAGTGATTTAAGTAATAAAACCAAGTGTCCATAATCATAATTCTTTGGTTCAGATTGCATTGGCCATTGAGTCATAAATAGATTCCGTTTGTATCCATCAACTTTATTCTTAAAAAAATAAAGTACAATTACATTTTATTCAAGTATAGGGGGCTATGGGTAAATTGTCGTTATCTTATATTTTTAATTTCGCACATGCGCGTTGCTTGTTTTTGATTTTGTCGACTGCACTGTATAGTTGGGGCAGTTGGACACTGTCTATGAGAAAAAGAGAACCATGACGCAATTCACTCTGCCAGAAATTTGGAAATGGCATGTTGTACTGCTAAGCATTCGCACCGGAAGTTCCAATACGACCATTTTAGAGTGTTTGCGTGACAGTCTGAGAACAGTGCAGAGGATCCGGAAAGATTTGGATGAGTCTAATGGTAAAGTGTCTGGAATGATTACTAATGATGGCAACGATATGCCGTCATTCTTCTTCCTACAGGGCTTCAGAATCAACACGAATGCCTACAGTAATTGCCTTGAGGAGGTAGTGCTGCCCTAGGTCAAGGGAGTGGCTTCTGGAAGACCCTATATCCGCCAAAAGGATTCTGTACAACGCCACACAAGCAGAAGAACCGGCTCATGGCTGTCAGACATTTTTTGCGATTACATCAACCTTTACATATTGTTACCTAACTTCCAGACTGCAACTCCCTTGATTATTATCTGTGGAGCGCAGTTGATTGGGAGACCAATAAAACTCCTTTAACATCAAAGATGAACTGAAGTCAAGGATTATGGTAGCATTCAACAAATTAAAGAAGCAGACCGCCCAGAAGAGTTGAAGGAGATTCCGAAGTTGTTTGGAGGCCGTGGTCGTAGGCAATAGCGATTTTATTGAATCAATTAATCTTTAGTATTTCAAGATATTTTTGTGTAATTTTAGTAAATATAACTAAATATAAATGAGATGCCAGTGTTATTTTCATTTTTGCGTCATTTAGACGCCAATTTATCCATCGCGCCTGTACATATTCACCATTATTAGCGATGACTTGTTGCTTATGAGTAAAACTCCGCAGCAATTGACGTGACAATTATTCGACGAATTCTTGAAGTGAAACTAGAGAAAGTTTTCCCTATCAAAACGTTTTGCAAGGGAATAATCAGTTAGTATAAGGTCAGGTGTATATATAAAGTTCCAAATGTTTTTCCTTGTATGAGACTTTACGTTGTCATTGAAAGAGTTTATCCTATTGGCGAGTCCGAAACACTTTTTGACCAAACGTTTATAGACATGTTACAGTTGCTGAACGTATGAATGTGTATTTAGTGTTACACTGTGTTTAAAGAATTCTAAAACAATAATACCCTGAGGATACCGCGATTCTCCGTGTCAAGCCACTGCCTTTTGTGTTGAACCTTGTCGTGTCGAATCCATCCTTTATCATTTGTTATGATATATTTTAAAATTTTTTTTTAGGATGATATATTCTTCACTAAACTTTTTTTTTCACAAGAATTGTTTTCATTTTTTGAAAATTTAATTAGAAATATTGTTTTAAATCTTTTAAAATTCTATATTAATTTTAGACTTTTAAATGTTATTTATTATTACGTGAAAACTATATTTACTAATCATAAATGGAAAAGCTTAATACAAATCATTAAACACCAATATTTTAAAAAAGAATTTAGAATGTTTTTTTGTTGTGTATAAATGTACCGAGTTTTTTAAGTACGGGCGACTATACACGACATTATCAGAAAATAAGAGCGATGACTATAGTAAATTTAAAGCCCAAATTCATAAAATTCAGTAAA